TTTCGGATGGCTTGTGGCCCAACGGACCATCTATTTGTTGTTGCTCTTCCCTCAAGCTGCCGAGGCCTGTCTCTGTCTGTATATAGTATGCGTGATGTGCGTATGTGTCTGTGTTTTTTTCTGGATATGTTTGATCTCCAACATTCTCCAACCTACGTCCAATCTGCACAACATTACATTATAATAGTATATAATATTATATATATATATAATATTATTATATATATAATACTATTATATATATAATATCACATATATATATCATATAATATTACATATATATATATATATTATGTACACTAAATATATATATGTATATTAGAACATTATACCTCGGCATTTTTCATCTACACAAGGGATAGACCGATCGGATCAGCATGGACCAACAAAAATCATGTCAGGCTCTATCTTTCTCGCTAGGAAGATACATTCGAGGCACATGAATCCTTGTGTATAATGTCGTATACATATAATACATATAATCTGTATATAATGTGTATAATGTACATAATCTGTGTATACCTTGCAAAAACCTCATAATTACATATAATTACTGTACATTTCAACAAGTATCGATATGGGAAACTACGGACTGGCACTCGCACAGCTTGAAGATTCATGAAGAAAGCTGCACGCACAGTGTAGTTGTTTGAGTCTGTTTGTCTTTGTGTCTATCCAGCTGTATTGTGTGTTGCAAGTCCATTGATATGGGGCGGAGAGCTCTTTCAATTGTCAAGTATCACATTTTGCCCCAATCAATCCCTCCCCTGCAGAGTCAGCAGTGTTCAAAACCTCTGCTGGTGGATTATTATATGTGCTTATACTATGATTATACTATTCATTACTATTCAATATAGTGGGAATTATCACAATCCATGAACTACCCAAATTTAATGATTAAGGACCGATCGATCAGAGATGTTGCTGTGGCGCTCTGGCTTCACTCAGAACATGGCTTTAAACTTACCAACCCCAGAAAAGATTGAAAAGTAACACCCTACTAAAATAGTGATTTGTGTGTCCATCTTTTCGGGGGGGTTGATAATGTTTGAAATGGTTCAATATGTTATCGTACCCCGAAAAAAGAAAAAAAAACATGTTTTAATATGGTTTAATACGAATACTGACTCAATTTTTATGGGCCCCTTGGTTACCCATTTTTGAGCAAACCCCAAATGATTACTACTACATTGTAGTTGTCTTAGTTCTTTTGAAAATCTTGGGAGTTGGGAACTGATTTGAAACATCATCTGCTTGTAAGGATCATTCCAGTGTTTTGTTCGATCCCTTGATCGCGCAGTCCAGATATCAACGGGCCGCCCATGGTCTTCCAACGCACTTCCAATGGGATTTCCTGTGAGGCATGTCAGCCCACGCCCACGCCCATGCAGATGAGATGCAGGAATCCGGGCGCACAGAGGATGCCGTTGTTTTTCCCCATTGTATCAGGTATCAGCTATACATGGGTATGGATCAATACCTATTAATACCATTTTTAGGGGGATGAACATCCATTTACCAGCTATTTTGATGTTCACCAGGGGTACAAGGTTTTGACACACTGCCACATGGTTATAAGATATTATAAGTCATGATCACTAAGCGTTCGGTAACTTCAAGGATCATCTGAGTGCCTACCTTAACGGCTGTTCTTGGCTAACATCTGATGTAACTGGACCGAGTTGGAGCAGTGACTCCAACTGTTATTGGGTTATGACGACCGCAGGCTCAACTCGGTAATGACCTTAATGTGAACGTCACTGGAATGATGGGAATTGTAGGGGGATCATCCCCACATTGCATCAAATGGCCGTATGAATCCGTATGATAACAGTTATTTTCAGATTAGTGAATTATAATTTAGCCAGATACAGTGGACGGGATATTAAAATATGTAGTATATGTATACTGTATGTATATATATAATATAATATATATATAATTATATACGGGGAATTGCCATGGTAACCTAACCAACTATAATTAATCCCATCCCCCAATATTTTGAGACACAGCAACTCTCCCTGGCCCTGTCGCATCCTGACGGTCAGGCGGCCAAGACGATGCAGGCTTTTTCAGGGCTCCCCACTTCCTGACGTGTATGGCATTGGGCAAAAATCACGTGATTTCTCGTTTTTGGAAGTGATTCAGTGTCTACAGATTTCTACGGGTTTTAAGATGTATGTCTTAATGTTTGGTACAAATGGGCACGTAAAATTGCTAATGTTTAGTGCTAAATCATCCGACTGAAAAGTCGAAACGATTCTGAGGCCTACCAGATGTGCATGAATTCATATCAGAACGGGTGGATGACCATCACGCATTCGCCCTTTCTGTTCATTTTTGGAATGTTCGATGCACCAGAGTCTCGACCCAACGAACAGTGAGACCGAAGGGATCGACTCATATCTGCAAGTTTGTCAGAAATTCGAAGAGCTCCCCGAAATCCGTCAAGATCCATCAAGATCATCAAGTACCTCCATGAAAATCATTGAACAATCGATCAAAATTCATGGGTTTTGTGAATCAAAATCCAGCAAATTTCCACCGTCCAGGCACAAGTCCCGACCAAGCTATCGAAGGAAGTTCGAGACGTTTCGGAGGGTGCGACATCCCAGGAAAAATGCTGGTGCGACGTGCCATGGAGGATTACTTCAGGATGTAAAAATTGTTCCTCACAGTTTCTAGGTCCTTTTTTATCGCCAAATCTCAACTCTTTTCTAGTTCACCATGCTTCAGCCTTTGATCGGTGTTCAGCTTGGGGTAATCATCACAGCAATGCGGGCGAATCCGTTCAACATTGGGTCGGGTTGCCATTGCCCCCCCTCAGTTTCACGCCTGGTGACACTTTTTCGCCCGCAGCGACACATTGTTTGAGCGGTGTTGTTTGCAGTTTGGACGTCACAACCCGTTATATATCCCCAAGATATCCCAACATTACTTCTTGACATTTGTTACAAGGCGCTATAACATGGTGCCGGGCATTTGAGGGGCTCCCCGCTGTTGACATTTTTCATTTTTTTCCAGGGGGAAGTGAAAGGGGTCAAAAACGAAAGTTTGGTATCATCAAAATCAAAATGAATATCATATTCGGCATCTTCACTATATATAGATCAAAATAGACATAATCATGAAATATCATGAACATGTTCATCAACATCAACATCAACATTACATCAACATCACCACCACCACCAGCAGCAGCAGCAACAACATCAAGATCGCCAAGAACATCATGCAGATGTGTCCTTGCAAGAGCAGCAGCCCTTTTTTCATGCGGGGGCTGTCTTTCCAACAGAACAACATTTAACTCCAAGACAGTTTGCAACTAAATCTGAGCGTTAGTGCATGAACGCATCATGATGTATGTGTGAAAGTGCAAGAGAAGTACAGTAGCATAGCAGTACGTATGTGCGCAAGTGTACGAGAACATTCAGTAGCGTAGCATGATGTATGTGCGCTAGCATAGCATGACGTATGTGATCGTATGTGCGCAAGTGCAAGAGAACGTACAGTAGGGTTGCATGACGGATGTGTGCAAGCGCAAAAGAAACGGTAACATGGACGTTATTAGCCCACCCGCTCCACCCCAACCCACCCCACAATTATGTTGATAGTAACATACAAAATATGACAACAGTCGATAGCCTCTCAGATGCCCGGCACCTCTTAGACTCTTAGGTTGGCAGTTCCGCCAATCCTTTCCAAGCCAGGTAGGGCTGGGACAGGCTTCAAGAATATCCAGATGGGGAAAAATATGTGTTTTGACCTGTTTTGACTGTTTTGGTCCCCAACTTTCAGGATCTGTTAGGCATGTTTCATTGTTGATGTTTTGAGAACATACTTGAATCGTCCCATGTTCGGTCCATTTTGGGGTACCATTTGGATCCAAAAGGGCATGAGGGGATGGCAGCCAACTGTGATCTCGAAACAGGGGAAGAATCTGCTGGAAACCACTATGGTTTTACTATGGTTTTGATGGCTTTTGATGGGAAAAGACATGATTCCAGGAATAACACACATTTCATGATTTGATGGGATATGTTAATTCGGTATTTTGTAAATCCAAGCCAGTGAATCCAAAATATGAATCCAGATGTTCACGGCCCTTTGTGACAGGACACAGGTGCTTTGCGATTCTATCCTCACACTCAGAGGTCTCACGGGAAAATGTCCAACCCAGAATTGGAAGTTTTGGGGTTTCGTGAAATTGGGATCAAAGCCATAGAACTGGTTTCCTAATTTTGCCCAGGTCCTGGGCTTTTCCATCCCAGCAATGCTTTGGAGAAAGCTTGGTTTGCGAGGTTAATCAATTTGTGGGGTGAGATTGGCACTGATGACCATGTTAACTGAACAAGGTGTTTGACAAATATGGTGCGCATGCAGCGCAGAATCTTGTCAACCATCTGATCCAAGCCGACTTGAGAGATGTTGAGAGCTTTGGTTAGTTGAGGTAAGTGGATCCATAGAGATCTCGGAGAACAGTGACCATTCAGATCCATTCATGAAACATGTTACAATAGCCCCTGGGAAGTAAACATCACCAAATCATGGAAAAACATGGAAAATAGGCCCATTGAAATGTCGTGAAGCCCACCCCACCTGTAGTCACCTGTAGTCATGGATATCTATGGGCGGGAATTTTCGCGGCGCAGGCACCAGCTCTAATCCCACGGCAGCCGGGGCATGTTTGAAGCACTGAGAGTTGGATGATTTGATGATTTTGATGTTTGCTCAGCACTGACAACTTTGTCCATGCGGCCGCTGTCGAAGGCTTTCCGGCTCAGAGCCACCGACATCTTTGCTGCAACTTGTATCTTCCATGACATAACCAGATTCTACGGCATTGCAGAAACAGGATATGACTACAAAATACTACAAAATACATCACTACAAATTACTCGTAGCTACAGTACAAGCTACTCAGATACTGATGATACTGCATACAAGGAAGCTGCAGCTGCCAATATTTTACCACAGAAGTCGTATATGAAACACGTCTGAATTCCACTCCGTGTCATGGTCAGAAACTTGCATGGCAACTCAACGAGTGTGGCAGCCTCAATCTTGTGGCCGCAGGGCTTGTGCGTGTATTTTTGTGGGTTAATCTTATATAATTATATGTAGTTATAATATAATATATATATGTATGCATCGTGTTTGGCAGGCACTGGGTGTGCATTATCATTAGGGTGAGTATGTAAGCTGATGAATCCATTTTGGCTCAAGTCTGAGCCAAACTGGCTTCATCGTTCTTTCTTTTGTTGGGGTACCCACACCACTTCTAGGGAGTTACCCTAGGTTCAGTGGTTTCTCGTTCCTCTACTAGGGCGTTACCCTAGAGTACAGAGGTTACGAAGGTGGGAGGTCACCCCCTCGATGCCAAGGGCCTCCATCGTCGTTCGGCCCGGTTGGAATGAGGCGGCCCACACGGATGTGGAGCTGCTTCATGCGGCTGCCTACTACGAGTTCAAGACGCACGTGGAGAGCCTACTCCAGCGGGGCTTGGTGGCAGAGGCCACCCGACTGTGGGCGTCCGTGTGCCAAATTGATCATTTCCCCCCACATCCAATTGGGTTGGGGGTGCAGGGACTTCCCCCTTTCAGACGGTCACCTTGTATGGACGAAAACTGTAGGAGGTGTACTGAGTATCAGGGAGGATTCAAGTTCCCTTGGATCGGCACATGGAACAGCTCAGCTGTCTTGGCTCTGCCCGGGAGTGACCCGCGGCGTGCGTGGCAATCCTACTATGATCGCCTGGGCGAGGCGAAGCTGGATTTGCTACTCATCGAGCCGCTGCGGACTCATTGGACGGCTCGGGACTTTGCGCCGGACAACGTCTTTGGCTTGGTCGCCTTCATCGAGCACAATGCCGATAGCATGGTCGACCTCACCGAACTTTGGGATGTGTGGAGGACCTGGCAATCCCCACAGCGTGGATGGAGGGACCCATCCTTGGTGCCCATCCCGGCTGACCTGGTTGCGTGGAGAGCACCACGGGCCAGAGCAGTCCGGTCGTTATGGGGTTGGCTTGGTGCCATGGAGGCTGGGGAGGAACCCTTGCCACCTTGCAAGGCTTGTGGACTGCCGACACCTGAGCTCTGTGAGCGATGCTTCTCCTCCGTGTGCAGCACCTGTCCACCCTCCCAGTGTCCAGGATGTCACCCCGTCTTGCGTCGAGACCCATATGCAGCAGCTGCGGCCTAGTGATGTTTGTTTGTCACCTGATGATACTGAGGTTTGGTCTGCAGTTTCAGGCCCAGCCCGTACGCTCCAAACCTTGGCAGCGGTGGTGTCAGGCGTCGCCATGGCGTACCACCCAGGTGCCTACGCGGTGCAGGCTGCTGGTGAGGCTCCACCTTGTGCAGAGACGGCGATGGAGAGGGTGGCATCCACTCGTGTTGAACAGTGGCGAGCTCAATGGGGACTACATGATGAGACTGACTTCGCATATGCGTTTGCATCCTATGACAGCGCAGTTGCACATGGAGGACACCATGTGGCAGACGCGTGGTTGCAAGCGCGATCCAAGACTGCCGAAGCTGACCTCATCCCTCAAGCGGCTGCCGTGGCTGAGAGCTCGGGTTCCAGAGATCGGCCAACGACATGGCCTGCGCCCAAGGCGTCCATGATGAAGAAGAGCAAGATGGTCCAAGCTCTTCGAGTCCGGCCAGGCCCAGATCAACCAGAGACGGTGCTGCTACGAGCTGCGGCATTGAGGAAGGCCTTTTCTCAGGCCAAGGTCATGCGTCCTCAAGGGGAGTTGACCCCGGAGAGGTACGCTCAGTGGCAGGATGCTCTGGATACTTTGTCTAAGCGGAAGGTCACAGAGGCCGAAGGAGCGACGGTGGTGAACGCCCTGAAGTCTTGGGCTGAGTTGCGGGCCTACATGGAGCAGAAGGACCGCTTGTTCCCACCGGATGCATTGGACCTCTATGGCTTCTTGCAGAATGGCACGTCGGGGCCTTACCGAGCCTTTCACTCCTTGAAGTGGTTCTCCAAACATGGTCGGTTGCAATGGGACTTCAGTGATGTACCAGTCCCAGCTCGTAAGAATCCACCCAAACAGGCAAACCCAGAACAGGCTGTTGCAGTTGAGCCCCCAATGATTGCAGCGCTTGAAGAGAAGATTCAATCGTTGTACGAAGCAGGGGACCCGCGTTGGAGGGGCTTACTGTCCAGCTGGCTGGTTACCTTTGGTGTCCTGCGATACCAGCACATCATGCGTGCCAGGCCAGTCAAAGTGACCCCTAGCTCCTTTCATGGCTACTGCACGAAGGGGAAGCAGAAGGCCAACAGGGGCGGGTTCTCCTTCAGCATTCCGGCCACATTCGTCAACGGATGGGCTTGGGGCTCGGCCCTATTCAGGGACTACAGCAGTCTGGATAAGGCTAAGCAAGCAACCTCAGGGTTGTGCTTTGATGCGGAGGGCACCGCATACACATTGAAGTTTGTCAACGAGCTCAATCGTGAGGTCTTTGAGCACTTGGTCCAGAATACAGAGGATTTGTCTTCCTACTCCTGGCGGCGAGCAGCACCTACAGTGGGCACTCTGATGAAGCTGACGCCTCTCGAGCTATGCTCATTGGGGGACTGGGCAGATCGTTCCCAGATCCCAAAGGAGGCGACAATGCCTATGCACTACAGTGCAGCTAGGTACGAGTCCTCATTGAGGACCAAACACATTGTGCGGCTGGCTATGGAGAAGCTGCTTGCCCATGAGTCATGGGAGACCATCTCAACGGAGACCTACGCTGAGGCCCTGGAGTATGCGCGCCAGAACGTAGACAAGGTGCTGAAGCAGGAATCCAGGGTCATTTGGGCAGCTCCTTTGACGAAGGCTGAGATGCAGGCGCGCTTCCAGCTGTCGGAGGCGCTCAAGCTCAAGGCCGCGGCCAAGCGAGAAGAGGCACAATCCAAGGGTGGCCTGTCTGCGATGCCGGCATCTCTCAATGGGAAGGTGCTGAGCGCATTCATGAAGAATGGGGCACCCATTTGTGGAGCTTTTCAGACAAGGTCTTGCCCCCTGGAGAAGGAAGTGTGCCCTGGTCGCCATGCATGCGCCATTCTGCGCAAAGCTGGACGAGTTTGCGGTGGAGGCCATCCGGCATGTGAATGCCACGACAAGAAGTTCATCAAGGTGGAGGAGATGACTGGCGAAGGGCCTGGTTCGGGATCTGCTAAGGCCAAGCCTACTAGCAAATCCACGGAGGAGCGACCTCCGGAGCCAGCTGCCCCTCCTAAGGCGTCAGTGAGGCGCCCACGGTCCCCACAAGGGCCGCCGTCTAAGGCACCGCCAGCGAAGAAGGCCAAAGCAGCCCCAGCTCCACCTCCTGCGCCATTACCAGCCCTGGTGACTAGTTCGGAAGAAGAAGAAGTCGAAGTTGAGGAGGAGGACCTTCCGATTCCAGAGGCACTGGATACTCGAGGGCCCGACCAGAAGTTCGACAGGTTGGCGACAGTCCACGGCAAGACAGCGGAGAGCCCGAGCCTTATTTATCAGAATAGGGCAGGGGGCAAGCTGTGGCTGAGTGGAATTCCAACCAGGAACACGGCAAACCGCTTTCCAAAGGGAGTTACCCTTCAGATTGCGTGCATGGCCGAAGCCCCATCATCCAGAGGAGGAGTGGTGCTCACAGATGCCCTATTGAAACACTTGTGTGTGGCCCATGGTGGTTCGAGGAACAGGGACTTTGAAGAAGTCTGGCCTTTGCTGCGCAATACGATGTATGCAGGCGAGTCGGCCTTGATCCATTGCCTATCAGGGCGCCACCGAGCAGGTGTTGGGGGCTGTGTGTTCCGTGCGCTGCTAGCCCAGGAGAGCTGGGATGTTGCAGTGGCCTACGTGAAGAGCTGCAGGCGCTCGTTGGACATTCCGGGGATCATCAATGAAACGGGTATGAGGTCGTGGGTGGACACGACTCTCAGGACCAGCTCCCTCAGGAACCCGTTCCCAGAGCCCTGCGGCTACATTGCGACACTGCGTTCAAAGGTTCATCTGGAGCTCAACAACGGCCAGACCCTCTGCTCCCACAAGCAATCTGCTGAGCGTGCAATCCGCTTGGTGAAGCCAATGACGACGCAGGACATGAGGGAGGCCATGGCTTGGGGCCGCGCTTTTTGTGACGGTTGTTTGGTGCGAGCAGCAGCGAGCTGGCATCCACGCTGACCTTGTCAGGAGTGGCGCACCAGAATTCATTTGAATAAGAGACGCACAGGGCCGATTTTGGTAAGCTGATCAATGTGGTCCATAGCTTGCCCGTAGGCTAACATGCATTTGAACCATTTGAGAGCTTGACTTCTGCGTGGAAAAAGGCCCTCTTAACATCCGGGAGGATGAAGTCATGATAGGCTGTGATAACTAGTCTTACCGGTATGTCATGAGGTAGCTTACACAGGTATCTGTGAGGACAAGCTACATGATGTGTGCCGGGGATAGAGACTAGGATACAGTCTGTCGTACCCCTGAGGAACAGGGGAGTTCTTGTCTTACCCCCCCCGTCACCTCCTTCTGTCCCTGGATGGCAGGTGATGTGCAGCATGCGGGAGGCATGTTTGGGGGTGAGCAGCTTTGAATGTTCAAGTCATACAAGGAGTTACCTTGAGAAAATGACTAGTGTTCGATTGGTTCCGGTGGAGAGTACCACCATTCAGGAAACCATGGAGTCTTTAGGGCTGAATTTTTCGTTGGACCCCGTTGTGACCAAGGCGTTGTTGGCCACCAAGATTCAGAACTTGGAGGAGTTTCGGTTCCTCTTTGAGGATGAGTCGAAAGTCGACACGTTCTTGGCCAAGTTGCAACTCGGTGATGATAGGTTGATTCAAGGCTCTAGGTTGCGCAGAGCTTGGACTGCCGTGACTCTGTACTACAAGAACCAGGCCCAGGATACCATGTTGGCTGACACAGAGTTGCGTGATGTCAAATCCAACTTCTGGGTTCGGTATCGGATGAGATTCCCACCAGAGATTCATCCAGCCGATGCCACGCTCTCTCGTATCAGCAGGGAGCTCTCCAAGCGGATGCTGTGTGTTTATAATTTGTGGAAAGTTCG